GTGGTCATCTTCCCTGAGAGGAGAGGTGATTTCTCACTTTCTGGCTCTCTGGCTCTCCATCAAGTGCACACTCCCTATAGCAAAAATCTCTCTCTCAAAAAAAAAAAAAAAATAGATCTTTCTATAAAGATTTTCCAGGGCCAACTGGTGGCATAGTGGCTAAACAGATTAATCTTTCTTGGTCGATTGTGCGATTCAATTCTAGACCCAATAGCTTCAAAAATGCACCAGGTGCTTGTGCATGCGTTCCCAAAATCTGAGAGGAGACTGGAGTGTGGCCATCCCCCTAGGGAGTTGTCTCTCACTCTCTCTCTCTCTCTCTCTCTCTCTCTCTCCCTCCCTCCCTCCCTCCCTCTCCTTCCCCACCCCCTGCCCCCAGCAAGCATACATGGTCTGCAGCAAATTAAAAAATGCAGCAGATGGTGAAATGGTTATGTTGCTGGACTGTTACATGGCCAACCTCAGTTTGAGTCCCAGACCCAGAGGCTTGAAACTCATGCCAAGCATGTGTGCATGTGTGCCCAAAATTCCAAGAGGGGAACAGAGAAGAAGGGATTGCAGTGTGGCCATCTCCCTGGGAGATGATTTCTCACTTTCTGTCTCTGGCTCTCTGATGAGCATACGTACCCTATAACAAAAATCTCTCTCTCTCTCTCTCAAAATAAATAAATAAGTTAGGCTAGGCTGTTGGGAAGTCCTCAAGCCTGTAACCTATTAGAGGAACCTGGAATAGGCCTGGCTTTCGTATTTCCCAGTCATTGGCTGACAGCAGCCTGTGGAAAGCATGACCTCAAAGGATCACAGAACAAGCAGCTGAGGCCCTAAGTCAACTCTGATCTCTGCCGTAGAAATCTAGGAGGCATGTTCTTATGGCCAATAGTCTCTTATTTAGAGATGAGGTTCTAGAGGCTCAGAGAATTACTCTCAACTATAACCATGATGTGTCTTGTCCAAAGCAATTTATCTTTTCTCTTTATGCACTCTTTATCCTGATTGCTGTCTACCCTGTATTCAACTTTTTAACCCGCATATATAATTTTTATTTTTAGAGAGAGATTTTTGCCATATGGCACATGGGCTTGCTGGAGAGACAGATAGAAAGCAAGAATTACCCCTGGGTGATGACCATGCCACAATCCCTTTCTTCCATTCTCCTCTCAGGATTTTGGGCATATATGTACGCATGTCTGGCGTGAGTTTAAAGCCACTGGATTCAGGATTTGAACAGCAGTCGACTATGTGGGAGTCCAGCGATGTAACCATTACGCCATCTGCTAGTCCCATTTTTAATAAGTACACTCTGTAAAGTTCACTGCTATTCTCTAAATCTGCTGAAGAAAGTTCCACAGAAAACAAAAGATGTATGTGTGTGTATTATGTATACATATACACACATACACCACACACATTAGTGAGTAACATACATTTATTCAACTATTATGGACCATGAAAAGAATTGAATTATCATGTCTAAACAAGGAGTGAAATTTTTTTTTTTATGTTGTGCTTATGACTGCTCTATATTTGTGACTTATCTTTTAATAAGAGCAAGATAGTATACATGGAAAGGAGCTGGGGGCGTATTTTGGATAGGATCTCCCCCATCACATCATGTTCCTTCAGGCCCCAGCCTAGGACCACAGGCAAGCACTAGGCCTGATCAGGTTGTATTGGGAACTGAACCTGGGCCTCCCATGTGGCCTCAGCCACCATGTAGTGGGGCCCTCCTGCTTATGCCACAGTGGCTGGGCCTGCAATTCTTTAATGGAGGGAAAAATCTTTTATTCCCCAAGGAATGATAACCAAGATTTAAATGCCAATCTGATTGAAGTTGGAATTTCAATCTGCCAAAATGTAATCAGCCTATCTCAACATGTAAATGACTCTCAGCCAAGATTTAATACAGAAACTAAAGAGTAGGGGGAACCAGCAGTTGGCATAATGGCTATGTCGCTGGATTCCCACATAGTCGACCACGGTTCGCGTCCCGGACCCGTTGGCTTAAAACTCACGCCGGGTACATGTGCGTGCGTGCCCAAGATCCCGAGAGGAGAATGGAGGAGAAGGGATTGTGGCGTGACCATCCTCCCTGGGGGGTGATTTCTCGCTTTCTTTCTCTAATGTCCCTTTCTCTCTGTCTGGTGAGCGCACACGCCCTATAGCGAAAATCTCTCAAAAAAAAAAAAAAAAAGAAAAGAAACTAAAGAGTAAAGGCAGGGAGAAGAGACTACAGGAAGATGTTTCAGAAAGCTAATTTCCAAAATTTGACCATCATGCAGGACACCTTGGAGAAGTAGGGGAGAGGGCATAATTTTTGACTCTGGTTACAGAAAGTTCTTCTGTAACCACTTGCAGTAAATAATTTATAAATGTGGGAGCAGAACAGTCTTCTAGAAAAAGAGAGCTGACAGTAGTTCACAGTATTTCATACTTGCTGGTATTTGATTATTGAATACCATAATTTCTGTACCTATTATTATTATTATTATTTTTGGAGAGGTTTTCACTATAGGGTGCATGTGCTGACCAGAAAGACAGAGAGAGACAGAGAGACAGAAAGCGAAAAATCACCCCCTGGGGAGATGGCCATGTTGCAATCCCTTCTCCTCCATTCTCCTCTCAGGACCTGGGCACGCACGCACATGTGCCCGGCGTGAGTTTAAGCCACCGGGTCTGGGACTTGAACCACAGTTGACTATATAGGAGTCCAGCGACATAGCCATTACGCTAACTGCTGGTCCCAAGTTATATTTAATTTTGTATATTGTTTCTGTGAGGGGAAAGTAGGCTCTTAGCCTGACAGTGTTTATCTTTTCCTATGTCTTTCTTTCTCATTTCCTTTTCCTGTATTTTTTCTCCACTTCTAACTAACATCCTGTCCCAGCTTTTCTTAAGTATGCTTCTTCAGCCAGATGGTTTTAGTGACTGATTTATCCAACTCCTCCCTCCTTTCTGGGCCCCACATTTCTTCCCTACCCCACATTGTAAAACTGTATCTCATTAACACCCCTCAGAGGCAAAGCCTGAGGCCAAAAGAGAAAAGGAATATCCACCTGTGGAAATCTGAACTGAGCAGTTAATGGGTACCCCTCGTATCCCTTACCTCTGAAGGGATTTTCATCATATACACTAGAAACTAAAGTCCCAAAGCTATGTCTGCTGTTACCCTTTCCTGCTCATTCCACCTCATTGCAACTTTACTTAGGTCTTACTTCACCATCTTGCCATTGGCAGGTGGGCAGATTTTCCTTAGTTGTTGGCCTGACTTCAAGGTACATTCAACAGCAGGCAACACCCAGGGAAGTAAAAATATTATGCCTATTTTCCCCAGTTTACTGTAATAGCTGAGGACAAGTAACCTGCTGGGAGCCAGCAGGTTAGATTAGTGACCAGAATATGACTCTGGACATCAAAAAGCCCCAGGTAAAATCCCAGCTTCACCTGACTGTGAATTTAAAGTCCACATCAGCACACATTACCTTAGAAGAATAGGGTGGTCACAGATTGTGTAGCCTTGAGACCTACATGTCATTCTAAGGATTATGTACACATAAAACACAGAGAGAGAAGTGACTTTGTTGAAAGTCAGCGGTAGACCAACCCAGGTGGGCCCCAAGGTCCTTTATCCCCTCTCATTTGTAGTTCAACCAACCTGAGTTAGTTCAAGGAAAGACTAGGCTGACATTTCAACTAATTCTTTGAATTGTGTGGATGTTCACAGCCCTTCTCCACAACTAAGTGGAGTATTGTGGAGCAGAGTCTCACCCTTCTGTGGGTACATGCGGTCCATGTCTGCCTGGTCTAAATTGTCGGTAATGAAGGCTCAGGTCATCGTAGGCACTCCTACTTCTCTACTTCCAATTTTCTCCCAATTTGTCCCATTTTAAGTTTGTATCATGAGGCAATAGAAAGGAGTGCTCGTGACGTCTTTGCATGACAGTTGGAGATCAAATAAAGACACATCACTGGTTCCAGTGCTATGTGTGTTTGGAAGTAGCAATTTAACTGGTCCACCAGGGTGGGAAACAGTCCCTCTAGGTATTGTCAGTCACTTGAAAGACTGGAGCCAGATTTCTGCTAGCCCAGGATGGTGGTCTTCAAACACCAAAGTCCTCAGACCCACGAGTCACTGGAAGAGGTGGCTTTTCTGCAAAGGAAATATCCAGGAGAGTGAGACTGCTAGTAGCCTGAACTTAGCAAGTCTCCAGGTCTCACTTTCAGACATTGCCTCAGCAGGTCTGAGGTGAGGCCAGGCATGATTTTGAAAAATGTCCACAAGATGTGATTTTTCACTTCAGGATAAGTACTAGTAAGTAATCTCTAAAGTCCCATTAACTCTTTAGATCTAAGGGCAGGCTTCATTATAAACATATGATCTCTTTCCCTTTTTGATTAAAGAAATTGGATTAATGATTTGTTTTTACTTTATAACTTGTCTTCATCCCCAAATATCTTGTACGTTTAATCATTTTTCTTTTATAAAACCTCATATCTGTGTTGCAACTGGGGTAGGAAAATGGACTCCTGCAAAGCTGAGATGTTTATATACCTTTTGTTTGTCATACTTGGATGCATGTGGTGGAATTGTCTTCTGCCTTCTATGTAAATACCACTGCTTGGGACCAACAGATTTTGTAGCGGTTCCATTGCTGGACTCCCACATGGCTGACCCTGGTTCAAGTCCCAGATCTGGTGGCTTGAAAATCATGCCAGGAACATGTAAATGTGTTCCCAAGATCCCAAGAAGAGAGTGGAGGAGAAAGAATTGTAGCATGGCCATCCTCACTGAGGGGTAATTTTTCACTTTCCCCTCTCACTGTCTCTGTCTTTCTCTCTGTCTGGTGAGTGCATGAGTCCTAAGGCAAAAACCTCTAAAACAAACAAACAAAAACCACTGCTCTCCTTTTCATAGTTCTGCTTTCTCAAATACATAACCCATTTATAATTTGCTGCCTGCCTTATAGCAGACATCCAGATATTTTCCTGTCCCATCACTACAGTAACCAGAAGAAGGCTGTCGGCTGTCACCCTGGAGGAGCTCACTGGGGAGGAAGGAGGGCGTCCTGAGGAGTCAGAGCCTCTAGAAAAGAAAGGAAAGTCTGAGGTAAGGGTTCCCTTTGACTCATTCTCTGAAAAGAAACTTTATGTTTAACATATCTTAGGGGCTGCTTGTGCCAAGAGTGATGAAAGCTTTTGGCAGTTACTGTGATTTTACCTCCAGTTCACCCCTTCAGAATATCTTGCTGATAAGACTTAAATGATGCCAGTGTAAAGCTGCTGGATCATGAGTCTCTCCTCACTGCTTTGTGTGTCTGTCCCGTGCTGTGGCACCACGGTGTCTTATGGATGGATGCTGAGGCAGCCAATTTCTGACTCACTGCAGCCGTACTCTATGTCTCTTTTGCTTGGCCAAGAAAATTGTTAGATTCTCTCTTCATTTGTCAAATATAAGAACATTGGGCTCTCTGAAACTTACTGCAGAGCTGCAGAACATGAATTTAGGTGCAGACTTAATGGAAAGAAAAGTAAAATGTATTGAAATCTAAATGGAGGAAATAGTGTGCAAGGACAAAGTGGAGCAGAAAAATTACTTGAGAGATGAGAAAATAAACTCTGTTTACATTATCCCAGTGGAATAATCTATAAAGAGGGAAAAGCCCAAATTAAAATACAGCCATGAGTAGATGCTTCAAAATGATTAGTGAGACAGTTAAATTTTCATGATCAACCTTTAGGCTGATGTTGGGATTCATTTACGTGATCTTCAAATACACAGACCTAACTCCAGGAAATATGCACTAGTTTCTCCTTAAGGGAAATTAATGGGGCCTTAAAAAGTTTATATTACATATAGTAAAAAAAGGAAAAATCTGGGGGAAAGTTGGGAATAGGTATCTCTAGCTTTGATAGTTCTGTCCTTCTCCAGAGCAGAACCTATTTTTTCTCAGTTCTTACTTATGCAGCACATCACAAAGAGTAAGCTATTGGTCTTTGGGGTATAAAAGTGGACCAAAGCCTTTATAGGACTATTTCCCAGTAGAAAATTAATAATAAAATAATGTTTCATGGATTTATTTCTCCTTTCCATCACAAAATGAATAAATAACAAAGAAGGAGAAGAGTTAAATTAAGGGAAAAGGTTAGAATAAATTTATGAGCTCCCAAATATGACCTAGGAGGTCATAACTTAGACCATGAACAATCTTTCCATCTCCTGTGATGGTGGGGCTCCAGAAAAGGTGGAATTGGATGAAGATGAATTTTCCTGTCAAGACCTCAGTCATATAATATGCTATAAGAATTGTAGCATATTGGTGCCCAGGGGGATAGAAGTCACTGGGATTACAGGGTATTTGGAGTTCAAAACTTTGAAACATTCTTGATAATACTTGACTCCAAAATGCTCCTGGTAAATACTTTTATTTGTTTTCAGTGGGCTCATTATTGGTGTATGCTCATTTGCCATTCTACATATTTAGTAGAAAATGCTGGGAGCCAGATAGTGACACACAACTGGACCCATATGGGTTCAGGGCATGAAGCCTCCTGTACACTCTGGATTTGTGCACATGCCCATGATTCAGGATGGTTGAGGCTGTAATGTGGACCCTTTCGGAGGTTCATATCTCTCTCTCTCCCCATCTCAAGAATTAAGTTGGTAAACAAACAACAGGTGGTATGTAGGTTAAGGTGGCTGGATCCCACATGGCCAACTGCATGGTTCAAGTCCCAGACTCAGACCTTAGAAATTACACCAGATGCATGTGTACATGCCCAGAATCCCAAGAGGAGAGAGGATTACAGCATGGCCATCTCCCCTGGGGGATGATTTCTCACTTTTTCTCTCTCTCTCTCAACCTCTCTCTCTACTTCTGTCTTTCTGGCAAGTGCATGCTCACTATAGCAAAATTAATTTGAAAGAAAAAGTGTGACAATAGAGGGGAAAAAAAAAAAAGTAAAAGGTTCTAGTTGTATACTTGATCCAGTTTCTAGGGCAGTGGAAATCATTATGTGTGTTACTTCAGAAATTATGTCCTTATACAAGTAGACTTAGAAATACAGCTGCTAACCGTCAGTCGCTCTATTGACATTTTTACTACTTTTAGTGTAAATTCAGGTCTGTTGCTCTGCACATGTCGCTTCCGCCACAGAGGCCACAGCAGCACATCAAAGCCAGAAGCATAGAAAGTCATCAGAGTTCAGATTCTTTTCTGCTTCCCTGCAGAGAGGTCAAGAATACAAACATCCTCAATTGCTACAGCAAGAGGGAACATTAGAGCGTCAACAGAATCAAACAGGAAGCACCAAATCGGCCCTCTTTCAATTTATTTTGTGATTAGTAGTTTAGTTCTTCAACCAAATTTGTTAGTGAAGCTTAGAAAACATACAAGGTGCAGTCATTGTGGTTAGTGGAAAGTCAAATTGCAAAAGGATTGAATGCTGTTTTTCTAACTTATTATACTTTATATAGTAAGTCCCCAGGATGTCAAATTTTTACATGATTAACACTTTTATTGTTATTTTTTCAAGCTGTGAACTAGTAGCTAAACAATTGCTGCAACCTATTGAAATTCTCATTATGAGTCACTTAGGCTTTAAACTTCTCAGTTATTTCCTTTCTAGACTGAAGAGTATGTGCATAATGTGATCAGAACACTTTCACCTGTCTTCAGTTTGAGGTAGGGTGCAAAATGTTGCAAATAAATGGCATTTCATAGCTTTTTAAACCTTATAACATTTTAGCTCTTGGTGTACCAGTTAGTTATTCACTCCACTACATCAGAGTTAAGTTCTAGTATTCCATTGCCAGTGCAGAAAATAATAATGAAAAAAGTTGAGACACATTGTAATGATTCAAGTATACCTAGTGAAGAAGCAAAGGGAATATGATTTGTGCTTTCTGTGAATATTTCCAGAATAAATCAATAAGCCACTACTTTATTTTTTTAATTATTTGGAAATTCTTAATTCCAAAAGACCGTTTTGCCTGCCAGTTAAAAGGAGTGGCTGCTCCTTTTCAGCTTGCTTTATTATTTTTGTCATCTAGCCAGTGAAGCAACAGGGATGGGATAATGAGAGTGGTCTACGCCTAGTACAGGTAGTAAGGGAGTACCTTGTGTAGAGAAAATTAAAAAGGAATAAAACCAAATAATAATAAAAACCATCCACTTTTTATTATTGCTATGCATTGACAATTTCAAACAACATCAATACTACTACTACTCTCCAAGAAAAAAACAAAAACAAAACAAGATGAATGTCGTTAGTCTAAGTTCTAAGTTCTAAACAACTACTGTATTTACTGAAATGTATCAATATATATGTAAGTTGAATATCACCATGTTTTAAATGATTACTTGTACTTTAAAAAGCATTGTATGCTCCAGGGAAGTAATTCTAACTTCCACATGCGTGTGGACTCAGCTACACTGGTTTATTTCAAAAATAAGCAATCAAGATCTGTTTCATTGCATAATCATTGTGCTAATAACTGTTTATTTTGAGTCTATGTTTAAACACAGAATTACAGGGATTAGTGATATCAAGTGAGCCCCAAGCAGGCTCAAGTAATCCACCTCACTACTAGCTTTAGAGAATTTTATCAAATATGATAGAAATTTATGATGAATTTCCCAATGAAGTTAGTGGAAAATTTTTAACTGCAGACATATCTGAAAGCTGACAGAACTGATCTATAAAAGAAACAATAACAAGGGTAGTATTGCAACTTCTGGAATTTATTGTGAGCTAACATTTTTATTAATCCCTGCTAAACTTATTCTTTTAAAAAATGTTTTCTATTCGCTTATCTGTTTTTTTCATTTGAAACAAACTTTTGAAATTAAAGTAAATAAAATTCAGTCAACTATGAGTGGAGGTAAGTTAACAAATTCTATTGACCATGAGTATGTGAAGACCAAATTGACAAAACCATTGGCAGATCTATAGAATCTAACTCTTTAGCCAGAAACTGTAATATGATTATTAGTTACCATGGTGAACCATGGTATATATAGATATAAATAATTTTATCAAAAAACACATTAATGTACTTAAAAAATATTAAACTTTAACCTTTTCTGTACTTTCCACTAAAATATTTATTGTATTAATTTTTCATAGCACAATATATAAAATCGAATATGTAAAATTAAATAAATAAAACTTTAACCATCTGGGGCCAGCAGGTGGCGTAGTGGTTAAGGTGCTGGACTCCCACATGGCCGACTATGGTTGGCTTCTTGGACCTGGCGTCTTGCTCTCTTATTTTCTCTCTTTCTCTTCTTCTCTCATCAAATTTTAAAAAATAATAGTAACAAATAAAGTAAAATAAATAAATATTAAAAAAACTTGGTAACCATTTGAATTTGTTTTCTGGAAGTATTGATAATTATGTTTTTTCTATCTCATAAGTATTACTGAAAATACTTTCATCATTTAGAGGAAAGGGTGTTAAAAACAGTCCATTTTAGGCCCAACCTAGATGGCACAATCCATAACCTAGATGGCATAGTCGTTAGCATACTGGACTGCTTTGCTGGAAGCCACATGGCTGACCATAAGTTAAGATCCCTGGGTTGGCCTGAAAACACACCTGGTACATAAATGGGGCTCAAGATCCTAAGGAACTGGAGGGTTAGGGAGAGGAGATTATAGTATGATAAGACCCTATCAAGAGAGACTTCTCTCCTTTTTTTCTTTCACTCTCTCATGTGTGGACGGAGCTTTCTATCAAAAAAAAAAAAAAAAAAAAAAAAAAAAAAAAAAAAAGAAAGAAAAGAAAAAAAAAAGCATATGAGGAAATGCTCAACATCCCTCATCATAAGGGAGATGCAGATAAAAACTACAATGAGATACCACCTAACCCCTGTCAGAATGGCAAAGATTAAGAATATAAAAAGTGATAAGTGTTGGCGGGGATGTGGTGAAAAGGGAACAATCCTACACTGTTGGTGGGAAGTAAGCTGGTTCAGCCACTGTGGAGAACAATATGGAGGTTCCTCAAAGATCTACAAATAGAACTACCATTTGATCCAGCAATCCCACTTCTGGGTATTTACCCAAAAGACAGAAGAACACTCAGTCAGAA